ACAAATTCATAAACACTTAGGAGCCAAAGTAAATTCCACCCACCTAGCCTAGTCTGACAACAATAGAGCCCACAGTGGTTTTCCAGTTCTCTAACATGCCCCAGCCTGAGGCTCACTTCCTCCAGCCTCCTATTCGCTACATCTTTGGCAGCCAAGGTGACTTATTAGTTCTCCATACACAGGGGAGAAGTTGGCAATAAAAGCCCAGCCATGATACCCAATCCTCAGATAGAGTAAGAATAATCTCCACCATCTGCCACCCTGGTTTTACCCTCAAGATTCCTCCCCGCCTCTCTTTTGTTTGACTCCAGTAGTGGCAAACCTAGTTAGTAAATCTAAAGTACCTCAACCATGAAAATAGGAATGGCTGTGCTTTAACATGCTTTTTCTCTGGAGTGTGATGCAAATATGGTGGTTGAAATAATATCTGTAAGAAGCCTAGAACAAATAATCATATTTATTGCTGCAACTGAAATCTCAACTCAGTATTCTGAGGAAGGCCTCTCTACAGTTTAGAAACTAAGGCAGGGTTGCAGGTGGGCAGACTGTAAACCGATACTGTCATAGGCAATTATGCAGCATCAACTACATTGGATACACCAAGAGAATATTTTGTTTTGAAAGGATATTTGATAAGGAGATGTTCTGATTTTTCACTTGTCCATAAAATCCCCTAGCTTATAAGAAACTACAACGTAAGTCAGCAGTCACACCAAATTCACTCTACAGGGGTTCAGAGTGTAGCTCTGTGGTAGAACATGTGCTGAACAAGACCTTGGGTTCGATCCCCAGCACCATAACAAAATCAAAACAAAAGCTTCAGAGAACAGGGTTTAAAATGGACTTTCTTCAGAAGCCTTTGTTACCATGTCCCCATCATGCTTATTTCCCCTGTCATAACTCTGCCTTCCCCACCAGATTGTGAGCACCATGAAGATGAGGACTGACTACCATACTTAACTATATTCTTAGTCCATTGCAAACTGTGGCTATGAAAGAAATATTCAACATTTGTTGGACAAACTGTATAAAGAAAATAAAGAGGATAAAATATTACTTTCTGCTTTCCTTCTTTATATGCTGTCACTTTTCCCAGACTCTCTTCAGCTCAACACCAAAGTGGCACCAACAAGGCCATGGCTCAGTCCTTTCTCTGTTAAAATCACAGAGAAGCAGAAGAAATTAGCAGATGGGAATAAGGAGTTACACAAGCAAGGCTGGCCTTAGTCAAACATTTGCAGCTACAACTAAAGGAAAGCTATTTGTGCCAACTTAAGCAAATGGGGATATCCAGTAGGACAGGGGAGTCTCTCTCAAACTCAAAGGCTGGCTTGGGGTGGGAGTAGAAGGGAGATTATGAAGAGGAAAACCTTCAGGCCTCACTGCCTGGGCTTTCCCTTCCTGGGGAGGGGAGATGTGCTCTGCTGGTTCATCCTTCCTTTCCAGCAAATCAGCTTTCACTGTCCATCCATTCACACAGTTGGAGCCTCCCAACTTTTGGGTTTATATACACCCAGTTCAACGAGAACAACATTCTAGGCTGAAACTAGCACCTTGTAGACCAAATGCTAAATTCTTGTGAAAACCGTACTGGCCCAGTGGCAAACAGCCTTAACCAGGCACACCTGGTTTTTCCTGGCTTCTTTTCTCTAGGGGAAGGAGATGTTCACAAAGATGAAGGGTGAAGACTTTCTAAAGTGCTAGTGTTTATCAAGAAGTGTCTGCTTTCTCTTGTTTGCCACTCCCCTCAGGTTACTCAGCTTCTTCACACCCTGCCTTTCATGCTGACTGCAGTCAGTTGTCAAACTCAACTTTCACTAATTCTTTCTTACACAATGCCTCCAGCTCTCTTCCCTCCATTACACTTCAAACTCTTCTCAAAGTTACCAAACATCTACTCTTCTGCTGAGAACATGACAAATACTATATTTAAAAGGTATTTTAAACTGCAAATGTTGCCATACACCTATAATCCTAGTAAAGTACTCTGGGAGGCTGAGATAGGAGGATCACAAATTAAAGCCCAGCTTGGGCAGTTTACTGAGTTAGTGAGACCTTGCCTCAAAATAAAAAGGGCTGAAGAAGTAGCTCAGTCCAAAAGCCTTGGGTTCAATTCCCAGGACCTTAAAAGGAGGTAGGGGTATTTTAGTGGACAAAGTAAGCCATATTTCAAATGCTCAGAATATTTTCTTCTATATTTGGAATATTACTATTTACTAGTGTAAACACACAATATGGTTATATCTGCTTTGTGCTGACCATTTTATAACCTCTGGATTTATACACTTTCCTTTTTACTTGTTTTATAATACATGCAACTATTATTTAAGAATGGTAAGTAACCTCTTAACAAAATCTTCTCAGCAAAAAAGACTGCACAACAATCCCCTGGAAACTCAAATCTATTTCAGGTTCTCTAATTGATCAAAGGGTAGTTTACTTTCTTCTGCAATAATATTATGCCTCTCAGGTTAAACAAAGGTTAGATTCTTGTTCAGAGGTTAGTAGTCACTATGTCATGTCAATATATAAGATTCCTAGGAATATAAAAACTAATTTCTGAGCAACTACGAAGAATAGTCTTTTTTTTCTTTTACCTGTGCACCATCAGTGGACATACCCAACACTGAAATTTATAGAAATCATCTTGACCACATATGTACCCTGTTCACCTGCAGATCTCTGGCACCCACATCAGTGGCATGTATACAGTAAGTATGCCAGCAAATGTTTGCTTCACTAACATGTAAACTTACATCTAGATATTTAAAATCAATACTACATGTACATGAGGCTATACCTGGGTTCATTTAAACATGTATATATAGATCAACAGCATGTTGGCTATAATGTTACAAGGCAAACCTTCTCAAAGTTTATATTCAAATCATCTAGAGATTTTACTGAAATGCAGGTTCGGATTCAGTGGTCCTGGGGTGGAACCCTAGTGCAGCTCTAATCATTTCTTAGGTGATGCTGATTATGCTGGACCACAGACAATGTTTTGAATTGTAAAACAGTCCTTCTTAAACTAGCTTTAGTGTTATGTCATAGGCAAATACACACATAAGTTAGAGGATCCTTTTTCTCAGACCTCATGTTTGATCATTAGGAAAATGGATGATGATGTTCTCCAGGGAAATTACATTTATTAAACTCAACCCTTCTGTAAATATTTATTGATTATCTATGTCAGGTGTAGGAATGACAATAACTTTTAGTCATTCTTATGTAGAGTCTAATTGATGAAACTGCAACAAGAGGCTTCTCCATATTCTTGGTGCTAACCAAATAAAGAGAGCGTTAAAGAGTGATATCAAAATGTATATGTGTGTATGTGTAGGGAAAAGGAAGGGTAAACAATTGCTTAGGGCCCTGTGCCTTCATGAGGTTCCTATTAATGCTCACCACAAGAAGGCTCCTTACCTGCCAACCCTCAGTCCCCACCATTTCACCTTGCTTCTCTGTCTGCGAGCTACAGGTCTCTGGGGCCAACTTCAACTTGCTGGGTGATAGCCCTTCCTGTTCTCTCCTGTTAGATACTGTGTCAAATTTGATGAAGAAGCAAATAAAGGAAAAGCCAGGAAACATCACTTAAAAATTAGGGGGAAAAATCAGAGAATTCTTTCCCTTTCCTTTTTCCTACATTATCATCACTGCCATGGCTTAACAAGATCACATTTCTTTTTAGACCTGTAATGTTGGGCCTAAATCCTATAATGGACTACAATGGAAGCACAATAGTAAAAGGGAAATATAGTAGTCAAAATTCCAAGAAGATTCTTCTTTACAGAAAACGGAGTGAAGATTTGCTTCAACTTTGTGGTTATCATCTATTTACTACAAAATTCTAAAACCATGCAAAGCCCCAAAGATAATTTGAAAATCATTGAAAACCATTACATCCTTAATAATTCATTTGTTTATAAACAGGCAAAATTATTATTACAGTATTCTTCTGCCAGAGGCACAAACTTAATCACATCTATAATTCAGCATTAATTTATCTGGGCTATATATAGTGGCATGTGCTTCTGATACTGGGATATTTATACTAAGAGATGAGGTATACATACGTAGCAAACCAGAGGGAATAAACCCAAACAACAAACCTAGAAGGTTTGTCTAGAGTGCTGAATTTTTTTTTTTTTTTTTGGTACCAGGGATCGAACTTAGGACCTTGAGCTTACGAGGCAAGTGCGGTGCCACTGAGCTAAATCCCCAGCCCTAAGAGTGCCAATTTTAATTAAGATTTGAAGGGAAGGAAGGAAAAAATGTTTAATATAACTGATAATGAATTTAAACAATTTTACACTAAAATAAACATGGAATAAGACTTAATTTTAAAGATAAAACACTAGACTAACAAGAAATTTCCTAATTTGAGGGAAGAGTTACTCACCTTTAAAGAAACTTCTGCCAGGAGACAGTTTAAGAAACACTCCTGTCTTTTTTTTTCTTTCCAGTATATTTGGATGATTCATTATCTATCAGTGAGTGCAAGGACATATTTCTCCAATAAGATCTTGGGGAAATAAGATCTACTTCTAATTACAATGTTTTAATGCTAAGCAAATTCTTTTGAAAACTGAATGTCCAATGCTGAATGTCCTAACTTGAATAAATGCTATATCAATAATACAAAGACATATTTACAAAATGGGCAAAATTTTGAATTGTCTAAAGACATATTTTCCAAAATAGTTAAACAAAAAGTTGAGAACAAGAAGACTGTTGCAATCAGACAGCCTATGTGCTATAGTCCTTTTTCATTAATTTTATTCAGAAACTATGAATACATAGTCAATTTCAGAACAATTTTATTTTAAATAGAAACCCTTAGAAAATATAAAATGATTTAAAATGGCACTTGTCATTATAATAAGATTCCCCACCTTTAAACCTTCCTACTCAAGAAGAAAACAGAGAGAAGGCAATCTGAGAAGGAAGCGGAATTGGAATAGAGGTCTGGTTTGCAGGACAGAGACCTAGATACTTACAGGGCATTGCATGGTATATGCTTGGCCAATACTGTCCGCTGTCTCTCTTTAACCAAACACGAACTGTCCTACAACAGAAGAAAATACGTGCATGAAACACAGTATTTTAGTCATGGAAGAATAGTGAGATATATAAAACAAACTTAACATTGTATATATATTGTACCTTAACTACATATAATAGTTATGTAGCTTCATCATACATAGCTACTACATATACCTCTCTAAAAATCCTAGTCCTTAAATTTAAAGCTTTTGTACTTAGAAGTGCATATCTTCCTCGTGTGTGTGTACGTATACACACATCTAATTGTGACAGCATTAGAAAATTATTTTTATTGTTGTTTTGCATTTCCAAGTGTATGATCATTGCTCTTATCTGCTAGTAGTTTCCTGAGGAACCACTAGATCTTACTAATAAAGTAAGATCAAATAAACTAGTAAGTGGCATCTAACCCTAAGGGAATTACACAGTAAGAGCATAATCATACAAGCCAGACACCTATCCTAAGGGACAGTTTTTCCTAACATGATCAGGCAATGGTAAGCTCTGAGAATCAGATCTTCTGATTTAGTGGACTGGCCAGGGGACCCCTGTGGAACAGGTATTCCTGAAGCAAAGGATGAAGTGCCAGGCCAGCAGGCTGAATACAGACAAGGCACCCAACAGAAAGAGAATAGAAGCCAAAGACACTGAACTAGCTGGGGACCCACAGCAGTTTCTAACCATCCAGAAGGGCCAACCATGAGTTACACTGGCCATGCCATCTGCAGCATGTACCAGCAAGGCAAACATATCAAGCAGGCTAAGGAACATTACTCTAGAGACCAGAGGAAATAATCCACATCAAATTAAAGGAAACAATCAAGTTTCCCACAACCAGGAGATCATAGAGATCACACACCTTGTCCCACATCCTTAAGCCACCCTTGGAGTAAAACGCAGATCCAGGCTGAGCACTTATCTCAGAGGGTTGGATACCTAAAAAAACTAAGTCATCAGCTTTAAATTGTGTTGGATCCTTCCCCTATCTAATCAGTGCGTTTCTTTTTTCTTTTTTCTTTTTTTTTGGTACCAGGGATCGAACTAACTCGGGAACTCGGGTCCTTGAGCTTGCGCAGCAGGCGGGCAAAACCACTGAGCTAAATCCCCGGCCCTAATCAGCGAGTTTCTTATAAACACAGTCATACTTTGTTACTTGAATGCTTTAAAATTTGCTGAATTTGGCAGGGATTTAGCTCAATGGTGCATGCTGCAGCCTGCCTCACAATCGCAAGGTCCCGAGTTTGATCCCGGTACCAAAAAATAAATAAATAAGTAAAATAAAATTCGCTGAATTTGGAACTCCATGCATTTTGATTCAAAAAATCTGTCCAGTGCTAGTCATTTGTTTAATACCTGACATGATACACAAGCTAGAACTTGTATAACTGCCTCTTGGCTTACTACCCTTTCCACTCAAAATAACTGGTTTGATACCTATAGTTTTTGGTACGTGTGCCTTCTGGTAACAATGATTAGTACCTAGGTACCACTCCAGAAGAGAAACACTAGATCAACTACATACACAATAAAGAAATGCCACTATCTGTGCACAACCCCAAGTAGTGAAGTAATGCTAGTGGTTATAAAAACATTACCCCTAAAAATCAGACACAAGAATGGTCACTTTCACCACTGTGATCCAACATTGTTGGAAGTCCTAGCCAGGGTAAGCAGACAAATAATAAAAAGCATCCAGGTTGGAAAGGAAGAAGTAAAACTACTTCTGTCTGTAGATGACATAATTCTACTATATGGAAAATCCTAAAGTAATTCACATGAGCATACCCAAAAAAGCCCTACTAAAACTAAGAAATAAATTGAGCAAAATTACAAGGTACAAGATCAGCAAACAAAACCTAGTAGTATTTCTACTGGGAACAGAAACACAACAGGCACTTCTAAAGAAAGAACAGCTGCCAAAACATCTTAATATATACATTTAATCCTCACTGAATACAAACCTTCTAAACCAATTTGCATTAGGGGCACCTGATAAATGTTTACATCGAAAAATAAAATTACATAAAAATGTTATTTTACCTCCTGTGATACTGCAGCAGTTTATGAAAGAAAAAAAAGATAGTGCATCCTAGAGATAAAAAGTACCATTTGGATAGCTAGGAATTCCCTAAATAAATGTAAATTTACAACGAAACATTTAGAAATTTGAAATTTTTTGAAAATTGTATTTAAAAGGCGTAACACAAAAAGCTTTTTTTAAAAAGCAAAATATTTATTGGTGCATTTTAGATATACATAATGATAACATTCATAGGGAATTTGTACCTGCACATGAACTTTTAATAGTAACAGAAAATCTTTTCCTTGAAAAAATTTCCACAAAATAACTGTGGCCGAAGGTGCACCTCAGCTTGTGCTTAGTTTGTGAAAGACCCTGGATTTGATGGGGGGGTGAGAGGGGGGAAAGAGAACGCCTATAATCCCAGCACTCAAGAGGCTGAGGCAGAAGGACTGCCACAAGTTCAAGGCCAGCCTGGACTACATATTGAATTCAACACGACTCTATCTCAAAAAACAAACAAACAAACAAAAACCAAAAAAAATTTGAGCCAGTAGAGGTTAGTGTATTGGGGAAGATGCACGCATACCTGCTGAAATGCAGGTGAGTGTCTATTCAACATACAAAGCCCCACGTTCTTAGAAACTCAACAGGGTTGGAATTAGGCAGTACTGGACCAAGTATGGAGTCTAGATTTAGGCAGTGCCAGAGAAAGCTTTTTTTTTTTTTGGTACCGGGGATCAAACTCGGGGCCTTGTGCTTGCAAAGCAGGCAGCGGAACCAGAGGTAAATCCCCAGCTCCTGAGAAGGCATTTTAGAGAAGAGAGACTAGAAATTCAGGATGAACCGCAGAAGGTGAAGCAGGGATGGGAGCATGTTCTTGTTGGTGGACCACTAGGGGAGAGGAAAGAACAAGTAGCCATAGTGAGAAACAGACCTGGTCAAAGGAGCACGCAAAGGCCACTGGGGGCCTTTTGGGCTGTGCAGAAGAGCATGGATTTTGCTTTGAAGGCAATGGGAGCCACTGATAATTAAAGAGCCAATCACAAAATCATATTTGTTTATTTATTTGTGTAGAGACAGGAAAGGCCTGGTTACTCTGGAGTAATGGGTTTGGAGGATGTGGCCTCTAAACCCAGGCAAAAATGGCAAGAGGACTGAGGATATAGCTCAATACCCAACATGCAGGAAGTTCTGGGTTCAATCCCCAGTACAAAAAAGAAAAAAGAGGCCCTAAAAATGTTAGCAAATTTTGGAGCATTCAAAAAGTTAAATATGAGGCTTGGACACTGATTGGATGTGATGTGCAAGGTGGTACAATTCACCAACAAGTGATTCTGGTAAAAGGCATGTGGAATTCATTCTTGAATATGCGAATCTGAGGACAATCTACTCAAGGCTGTTGTGGAATGAACTACCTACCTGGAGTTCAGGAAAGAGATCTGAGCTGAAAATTAAGATTTGGGAAACACAGCACTTAAATAGTAGATATTAGTGAATAAGAAGAAATGCAGGCCAGCAGCAAACCCTTGAACAGCATCAATAGTCAAGGGGTGTAGAGAGGCCATATAGTGGGCCAAAGAGACATAACAGTCCTTCTCCATCCAGAGGCAGAATGTGTCCTGGTTTGGGGTACAGAAAGTAAGGTCATTATCATAAATATACCTAAGAACTGAACCAAATTCATTGTGAAAATGTGCCTACAATAAAATACTATCTATGTAGGTCACTTTCCTGGGAGAAAAGAGAAGGTGGGGGATGGCGACAAACACTATACCACAGGTTGCTAAGCTACTGAGTAAAATAAGACAGAGCATCTATCCATGTTGAAATCCAGGCTTTTAAAAATGTGCCCTAGAATGATGCAACCTTCATTAGTTACCATAGTGATGAGCTTCATTTCTCAAGGGACAATTGTTATTTTTGCCACCAATGAAGTAACTTGGGGTGAGGGGTACGGTGAATCCCACTGTTTGGAAGATGAATTTCTAGGGAATACTTCTCTAATAAATTACACACAGTAACAATAATATAAACAAAAGGAACCAGCCCCCAGCAATCTGCAAACTAACAGAAAAAGTTTGTACAACAGGGTGTCGTCAACGCGGGTTTTCTGGGTAGTTTTTAACAGTGACTGGTTTGAAGGGGAGAAGGTGCTTCTAATGCAGAGAATGCTGCAGGGATTCTTAGAAAAAAATACTTGATTATCCCCCCAAGCTTATTTCTATTACTAGATTTCTCTGATTACTGCATTGTTCTCAATAAATGCATTCAGATCACTTTTAGTACGTAAGTGAAACCCAGTCTTCTACAATTCCCTGTGTGCCTTTGGTAGCTAGGGTTTCTCCATGGATTGACAGAACTGCTATGTATAAACTGCCAGCACAATGACAGCCAGGGGTTTAAACTACAGGGGCTCAAGCTGGGTGGGTCCAGCCTCTACTCACAGCTCCCTTCAATTGTTCAAATTAGTCCCTGCTACAACAGACAAAAACAACTTCGCTGAATCACAGACACCTGGGTTTTTTTCTTCTCAAAGTTATAGTAATCCCATAAACAGCAGCTGGAAAAGAGGTGTGTCTGTTCTATCTCAACTCCTTGGGCTTTTAATAGTATTCCTGCTGTAAAAACATTTACAACCCCTTTGGTCATTTTCAGTCATGTGCACTTGGCTAGGTGTGCTTATGACAGCCATCTAGCCAGGTGTGCTTATGTCAGCAATCTCCCCTCTGCATTTTAACCAGCTGGCTTGCTTGTGGGCTCTCTCTCTCTCTGTTCCTCTTTCTCCCTCTCCCTCCTTCTCTCCCTCTCTGCCTTCTTTTCTCTTTTCAGTCCAGAGGACTGAACCCTCAGTTTCATGCATGCTAGGCAAGTACTCTACCACTAAGCTACATGTGACCCCTACTGCCCCACCCCCGATTTTTCTTGAGGCAAGGTCTCTTAGAGTTGCCTCTAAATCCAAAGCCTGTGAAAACCTTTACAACTCAGAATTTACAAAATCG